TGCCCTCCCCAGCCCCCAGGACCTCTCTGAAAGCCTCCATAAGGCAATGCACGGCCTTTTTGGTGAAGGGGCAGGGCTTCGGGAAGCAAAAAATGATGTATTCGATATATAAGATGCACTCAGATTTTCAGCCTGTTTTTGAGGAAAAAAGGTGCGTCCTATACTTCAAAAAATATGGTAATTGTAATTTTGGGTATTGCAGTAAAAAAAAAAACACGGCCAAATGTGGTTGGCCATATCATCTGGCATGCATAGTCAACATGGTTAACATATGCTATATAAACATGCTCTAAATATTAACTACTCTGTATTTTAGTCTTCATTGATAAAATACTATTCTTATTTATAAGATAATGGTATTTCAGAAGACATATTTCTATTATGGAATTTTCTTCTGATGTTAATTATTTCTATTGCTCAGCCCATTTTGCTCTTAGCATCAAAATACATTTGTACAAATTCATTATCTATTATAAACTATCTTCATAACACAATATGATATGTATCTTCTCGAATTCACTGGTGCTCTCTCTCAGATCAAGTTAGTGCAGTATATTTATATAGATTTATACACAACATAAAAATAAATTCACAAAGTTAAAAATATCCAGCTAACTATAACTATTAAAATTTTCAGTTTTATTATTTTTAGAGTACACAGTTCAATATCTAGGGAGAGTCACATGCCATCTATCCTTGTTTCAAATGAAGATTTCTTGATTGATTACCTAATTCTTCAAGTTCCCACATATATGGATCCATTCCACCATAACTGTAGCCTTCATATCGTTCCTGAGTCCCCCCATCATTTCGCTCATCATCTCGTCTCAACAGTTTATTTTTTGCTTTTTTTGCTCTTTGAACAAGACCTAAACAAGAAAAAATATATATGAAAAGAATTACAAAAATTCCCATAAAGCACAATCCGGGGAGAGGGGGCTGGAATCTACTTGGTCCGATCTGTTGGGAATATAAATGTATCAATTAGCCAAGCAGCCCAATTATTGGCAGCCCAAAGGAATATTTTGTACCCGGTTATAGACTTAATTCAGGAAGCAATTTGTGCAATAGAATACTGGACGAAACAGAAGGCAAGAGCACCTTAAAGATAAAACAATGACGCATTGTTTTCAGCCTTCAGAGAACTGGGAAACAACTTGTAACAGGTGAAGGAAATTAACAGTTCAACACAACTACATGATCTTCGTATTTTACTGTGAATGGGTTTCTAACTTATTTAAAAGAGGGTGGAGGGAAATGCCCAATAATTAGCATATAAACATATTACAATTATTTCCACCTTTATGGCTACTACTATTCTTAAGCTCTTGCTACTAAGTTGTGCAGCCAGTGATTGAAATTGTGTGATGACTAAGGGCTGTTTACATGCCACATTCAATCCCATCAGAGTATTCCCAAGGATGACTCTGAATGTCTGAAAATATAATGAAACTCAATGCGTCAAAATCACCATGGAAATCAGCAAGACTTACTAACTAGAGGTAACTTGACTTAGTCTGGGTCCTCGGAGACAGAAATACAAATGAACTTAGAAACATTAGTATCTATTGTGCAACAATGTGTCATGTGGCTAAAATGTTATGTAGTAAAACAGCACTAAACTGAGATTAACAATTATTAATCAATTTGTGCTGGTTTCCCAAAATCATGGTATCAGATAGTTAGATACAGTGTTTTTCCTGTATTCTTTGGGCACCCTGGTTAAAGTATTTCTTTTGTTCTGATTAAAGCAACAAGACACCTGAAGACAAGCAGGAATGTCCAAGTTACTTAGATGGTAACTCAGGGGCCAGCATGTAGCTTATGAACATCCTTCATTGAAAGAGAATTGCTTCATGTATCTAAGACATATCTAAGCACCCATCCAATCACAAGTCACTTCAGCCAGAGAACTCACAGCCAATCCTCACTCCCACAATCAGCTAAAGTAACAGACTTCCAAAGTTTTCAAGTCAATCTTTACTACTTTCAGGTTTTTAATGCATTGCATTATTTTGCTGCTTAATTGTGAGTGATCTTTTCATCAAATGCTCCATATTCTTTCATGTTTGTGGCCAAGAGTCCAAATGTCATTTCCTTAGTCCAAAGCACTAATTTTAAGCTTATAAAGACTTTATTTTGCCAATTTTTAAAAAAATGACTTTTGTGATTAGAGAAAATATTTCTTTTGGCCAACCTTCCTCTTCAGATCATCGTTGAATAAATAATGTTGTATAACAGAATTATGGACAATTACTTCGTGGCACGACATAACCGCGAATGTAAAAGCGTGCCGACAAAACCGTGGCGCTAAAACCGCGATGTCAAAAGCGCGCCGACAACA